AACCGGGGTGGTTACGGGGTTGTACTTGTTTCAAGTTTTCAACCAAAAGGGGAAGTGAGTAGAGAGAGGGTTCCACCAAGGGGTTTTCAGAAAGACTTTTCAAATCAGTTTTCCACCAAAAGGGGAAGTGAGTAGAGAGAGGGTTCCACCAAGGGGTTTTCAGAAAGACCTTTCAAATCAGGTTTCCACCAAAAGGGGAAGTGAGTAGAGAGAGGGTTCCACCAAGGGGTTTTCAAAAAGACTTTTCAAATCAAAGTTTAGTTTAGTTGCTTCTCGTTTCAAAAGTGCACACACATCGCAGAGATTGCAAGACATGGAAACAAACAAACAAAGAAACAACCACACACACACAAACAAAAGCAAACAAACAAACAAGCAAACAAACAAACAAGCAAACAAACAAACAAACAAACCAACAAACAAACAAACAAACAAAAGCAAACAACCAAACAACCAAACAAACAAACAGACAAAGAGACAAACAAACAAACAAAAAAACAAACAAAAACAAAAACAAATACACAACCAAACAAGCAAACAAACAAACACACAACCAAACAAGCAAACAAACAAACACAGAAGCAAACACACAAGCAAACAGACAAGCAATCACAAAAGCAAAGACAAAAGCAAACACACAAGCAAACACAAAAGCAAACGAACAAACAAACAAACAAACGAACAAACAAACAAACAATTAAACAAACAAACAAACATTTCCAAAATACGCTGCCGCCTGTTGCAACAAACCCTTACGGTGCGGCGGTGGCTCAAGGACCTCAGAAACAGATGGATGCCAAAAACAACACAATCAAAAGCCCAGCAAAAACAAAGCAACCCTCAAAAAAAAGCAAACAAACAACTGGGAACAGCACATCGTGAGATCTCACCTTGTTGGCCCACACCACGTCCTCGGCGGTCACCTCAAAGTCCTGAGCAGCAACAAGCAAGAAAAAAAGACCACTAAAAAAATGTTACAGCGACCAAAAGTATCAAACCGACCCCAAGCAAACAAAATATATAATGCCAGCAAGTAACAACATGGCAAAGAAGATCCTCAACACCGACTGGGCCGGAAAGAGACTCCTGCGCCCAGTCGGTGTACCTCTTGGCCTTGTACCAGAGCTTTGCTGGTACATGCCAAGTGGAACTTCCATGTTGATCGACCCACCAGTCCTGCAACCAAGGAAAAATAACACACCAAAGCAAAAATTACTCGCAAACAATGCAAAGATGAAGAAATTTCTTATCATGAAAAACGAGCACCTGAGCAAGGTTCCAAAGATGAACCCCGGGCCGAAGAACAGCCAGGACACGGCGGTCACCTTCGCAAGGAAAAAGTATGGAAAAAAAGAACAGAACTGCAAGGCAAGGCCCCCGTACCAAAAAAAAAACACCCGCCTGCATTGGCCTGCGCCACCGCAAACCAAAATGCAACTTCAACGCTCTTAGACCACGAAAGCCAGGGCGAATCCTAAGCAAAACCAAGAGAGGGAGGAGAGAGGAGAAAAAAAAGCGACAAGAAACAGAATCACCAACACAACAAAACACAGCCTAAGAGCAAAGCCCGAGGGTTTAGCGCCACATGCTCCCAAACGTGCGTCGGACGGGCGCCCTTGGGTTTCACGCAGAAATCCAAGCACGCCGCGCCGCGAAACAGAGGACCTGAGTCAAGCAAAACAAGAAACAGAGGAAGGAGAAAAAAAAAAACGCACACACACACACAGAAAGCACACACGAAAAAAACCAAACGAACAACAACAATCCAGCCTGGAGGATAGAGGCGACCAAAAGTACGCCCACCCGCAGGATAGGCACCAACCTTCCAAGACAACAAGATTTCACAACAATGCAACATGCTATGCGTTAAAGAAAAAAACAAACTTCTTCAAGCTACAGCGACAACAACATATGTCTGTCCGCCCATAACCAGCCTCAGGAACAGCAACAGCCTCACACCACGTGGCCAAAAAAAGACTGCAACAATAACGAAAAACAACAACGCAGAACAAAAAAATAAATTAAAAAACACAACAAGCAAGAGATCATGTCCCGCCTCAGAAGACATCTTCCTCGACCTGAGAAAACACACCGTACACTACACTTGCACATCAAGCACAAGATCGAAACAAAGAAACGCACATCAAAAAATACAATGTAAAACTTGACTGCTAGAACTTTAGAGGCAATCGACAACTGCTCGAGACACCAAAACATCAGAAGCAAACACGCGGAAAAAAAAAACACTCTGCTGAGGCCATTGCGAAATGCGGAGCAAAGAGAGATCCAAAAACACCCTTTCAAAGCGCTTGAAGAAACACACTGCGGATAAGCAACACACAATATTGCAAAACATCGCAAAATACCTAGAGGCTTTCATATAAGTTCCAAACAAACCAGACTCCAAAAATGTAAGCTTCCATAAATGTACCTTGTGTTGAGAGAAACTTAGGAGCTTTACGAAAGACCTTAGGGAAGCTAACGTAAAGTTATGTTAAGTTCTGTTATAGTTCAAGGGGTTGAAAGTCCAGCTTTATCTTTTGTACCTTCACACTGCACATTGTTGCAAGTCCAATCCTGAAAGATATGCTCATGAAGCTTTTTGACAAACAACACGTTACAAAACAAAAAACGCACATCATCATATTGCTTCATTCGATTACTGATCCTAGCCAAGTCCAACAAGTCATGTTTGCTGAAATCGAATGACTAATCATCTTGGAGGTTGATGCTACATAGTAATAAGGAAAACATATATAAAGATACTGTGCTTTACCAGATGTTGCCACAATTAGAACAATTTTAACGTCACAATGAATGCATCCCTTAGATATTCTACAAGAATGAAGCACATCAACTGCTGCAAAGGGTCAGCAATTTTCTTTTTACCAGGTTGTTCATTCAAAATCGGCGCGCTCGAAGCTAACCTCAATGCGCATATCTACGCGCAAGATCGCAAATAGTGCAAAACAGAAAATTCACCTACATTCCATATGCAACAGATCGAAACTAGAATCCGAACCCGTTCAGTTTATGAAAAAAGGATACTCCACTGGCATTAAACTGCAAACCTTCCCTCCGAGGAGAAGACACTGCCACAGCCCCGGTCTCCTTGCTCGCTAACTGCACCTGGCACGACGCTACAAAGAAAGACCACGGCCAGAGCTAAAACCGTCAAACACTGAAACAACGACACAAAAAAAAAAACATTTCATATGTGCACCAAAGCATCAAAACATATAAAACTGAGAACCCAGCTGCGCGACAAAGGCGATTTGACATAGGCTATCTCCTGGCAATGGAAAAAAAAACATATGGTTGCTGACAAGAAACTTCAATACATAAAGCAAAGCTGCACCTGCACAAATCCAGCATCCTAAAACACAAAAACAACAACAAACAAACAACCTAAGTTGCAGACATACTTCAGGCCTTACAGCTTTTCTTTTGAAAGCTGCCTCCCAAAAGCGAAGAGACTTTTTTTTTAGACATATACAAATAAAAAAATAAATATATATTTGTATTTATAGACATACCGACAAATCAACACAACTAAATACATGGGTAATAAATCTGAATAGATTGATTGATTGATTGATTGATAGAAAGATAGATAGATAGATAAATAGATGCATGGATAGATAGATAGATAGATACATAAATATATACATAGGTAAATAGAGAGAAAAATAAATTCCTGAAGATGCAGATAGGTAGATAGGTAGATAGGTAGATAGATAGACAGAAAGATAGATAGATAGATGGATGGATACATACAGAGATACATAGATAGATAGATAGATAGGTAGGTAGATAGATAGATAGATACATAGATAGATAGATAGATAACTAGATAGAAAGATAAATAAATAGATATTTACATAGATAGATAAAGAGATAGATAGATAGACTAGTTAGATATATAGATAGTTTGATAAATTGATTAATTGCGAGATCACGACATGATTAACTAGAAAGTGAATGCTAGATACAAGCAACCACATCTGTAATATATCAATGCACATTCTCAGCAAAAGCCTGCCAAAGAAATTTATATGTATGTATTTATATATGTATATGTTTTTAACTCCAAGAACAAAGTCCTGGACTATATGTGCAAATCTACATATGTATATATCATTCCAAGGACAATGTCCTGAGCTACATTTACCTGTAACTTTCCCAAGGGGCAAACTCTTGATATCAATTTGTCACTGAACACTAGTCCTGGATCAACGTCTGCGTATATACATATATAATACCCTACGCACATATCTTAACACAGTATTTATGTATATTCATGTTTTCTTGGATAATAAATCTATTTATTTTCTCACATACACACATTTTTATGAATATATATATATATTTATATATAAAAATGCAAATATATCTATGTATACCTTCATTTTTTACAAATACCTCTATTTATATATATATATGCCATATACGCATATATTGCATATATTCATGAAAATACATATATATATATATATACATACGTATATATATATACGTATATATATATATATACGTATATATATATATACGTATGTATATATATATGTATATATATATATATATACGTATATATATATATGTGTATATGTATATGTATATATATATGTATATATATATGTATATATATACACATATACATTGATACACATATAATATATGCATGACAAACACTGAATGATGAGAATGCACCCAATTTTGAAATCATGGAGACCCCAAACCACTGGACGCACCTGCACGGAGGATATACTCAATGCGGATCAAAAACGGTGGATGGTCAATTAGTGGCGATTAGCGCCTTCAGCATTTTGCTGTACAGCAATTACAAATGTACTCCTTAAATGCAAGTTAGATGGATTACGATAAATTAAAGATTGATTGATTTAGATCAATTCAGTAGCGCACATGTAAGTGATGATGCAGCTACATGGTTTGCCCTGTGCAGCAACAGCAGAAGCTGCTGGGACACCATTGCGCCGCAGGTACAGACGACAAACCGAAGCCTTGGGAGCGAGAAGAAGAGCCAAGGAGATGGAGATGCAGAAGGAGAACATGGACAAGGACTGGACCGTTTAAGTATGTGGCAAATGGAGGTATCTGACCAGCAACAATATCTGGATAAGTGGGGAGTTTTCTCACGTTTTTACGATCGAAAAAGGGGCATTGGTAATCACTCTATACATCTATATACCACTATGCCACTGCGAGCAACGGCTGCGTTCAACAAACACCCCTGTTGGCTAATGATTAGTTTGAGGGCTCGAATTGTTATACTATCCCTTATATTATACTAATTAGGGAGTATCATAATCTATTGTGAGGACTTGTGGGAATCCATTGGTGGTATTTTGGGACGGATTAAAACCTATGAAATACCACATGAACCTGCCAATGAACATCCATAAATCTCAGCCGTTTTGGTGTGAACTACAGGCTGGCAATTGGACCGAAATGGAGGGTTTAGCCATGAGAATGGCAGTCTCAAAATTTGGAACCCCTCCCACAGTTGACAATGAAGTTCCCTCATTCTGATGGCCATTTTAGGGACTTGCGATACATACACTATATTGAGGCAAACCCAGTTGTTGCATGGTTCCATGATCGTCATTAAATGTTCGCTGCCTACGCAGGTTTTCTTGTGGCGTAGACAGCATGGCATCCGCTCACCACTGCCTGACCTCCACTAATAATGATTATAAAATAGTCGGGTCATGGTCTCGTGTTGAGACAGGAAGGATTTCGTTCCAAGCTCTATGTGGACAAAGAGGATGAGAAGATTTTGAAAGATGCAGTGATCAAGAGAGGCGTGCAGGGAAATTTGCCCTGAGTTCAGAGGTTTAGAATCTTCAATAGCCATAACCTTCCACACCCCTTTTGAATTTGGATTTTGGGGTCCCCATACAGGGAAGAAGGAATCCAATCTTCAGGGATGTAATTCTTTGTTGTCAAAGATATGGGTGTGTCTGAACAATTTGGGGAAAACTCCAAATTTGATGGTTTGTCATCATGATCTATATACCCTGTCAAAATGCAATATCCCATTTTCAGGCACAGCCATATTCACTCATGCCGGTCCAGCATCCTGGTGGTGGGTCAAAACCCTTGCAGCCTGGTACCCAACACGAACACCATGAGGTAACCATAAGGTACCCATAGACTCTTTGAATTAGGATTCTCACTGATGCAATGTCAGGGATTGTTTGTTTCCACACCTACGAAGCGCGACTTACGGATGTCATTTGGGACCACCAAATGGTGTGTCTGAAAAACTGGGATGAATCTCCCACTGCACGGTCATGTTAATGGTGAAAAATGATGATGCACCAGTGGATTTAGGGTGTTTTCCTAACCATTTTTCAGACAAGCCCGTCATTGGTCGTTGGTTGCGCACCTGGTACCTGACGGTCAGGTTACAACTACTGGTGGTGACGATTCTTGGACGCGTGGTTGGGCGGTTGGGAAAATGAGATGCCGAAACTCCGAATGTGCGGGTTGGTTTACCCCTAGTGTGGATGCTTGTCAGATTTCAGGTCTGGGGGATTTATGGACAAGATTCACCAAAAGAATCCAAGAACAAGTCAGATAGCCAATAACAAATCATCATTGTATGGATTTTCATGGGGGCTTTGGCATGTTTTGGCGAGATCAAGAACCAGCTTCGGTGGGAATCAAATTGGAATTTGTCACATTCAGCAGCTCGCTGGAATGGATCGAAAATATAAAACATGTCCAGCGTTTGGAGCGAGTGCGAAGAGCCGTTTCTGCTTTCCTCTCTCCCAGCCCAGATGTTTACCAAGGGCACTGCATAGCGCTGATTTCACACGCAGCCTCCCTCGATGCCGGAATGAGGGTGAATATTGGCCCAAATGGCTGAACTTTTGAGGTTGGTGGGGTATATCATGAGTTATCATCATTTATCCAGATTCCAGATATTCTCAGATAAATCCCATTTAAACTCATTTAAAATCCATGAGTTATCCCATTTCAGATTGGTGATTTAAAAAAAAAAAATCATCCAGATTTTTCAGGGGTTATCCTCCCAGAAACCAGCTGGCAACTCGTGAAGCTTATGCGACTGTGGCCAATTTTGGCGGCTAACCAGCAACTGTACAGTGGTAGATCAGCACCTTGATGCCGTGAGCAAAAAGGAGTTGCCATTCAGAAGGGATGACGACTGAAGCAATGATTAGACAGCTATATAATGTTACATACACGTTTGACGCTTAATTTGGGAAGAGGCTCCGAAAAAAGTTCATGGGGCCAGGCTACGGAGAAGAATTGGATGGCCACCTTTCAGCTCTACCGCATCATCGATGCTCAGACCTGCAAAGATAGGGACAGCCCCTGAAAAATAAACAATTCGACCAAAAACATGGTGCAGTTTCGGCCGCAAACATCGCGGGGGTTGACCAGAAAAATGGGAGAGTCGAAGCATTTTATCAAAAAATCATAGAGATCTTTGCCAATGAGAAATATGTTCTTAAATTCATAGAGATTCGAGGAAGTTTCAGGATAGTTCACATCGATCTCAGCCCATACGAAGCGTTGCTTCAATGGCCTTGGGTCTGGGATGACTTGGATTGGTTAAAGAATAAATGGAAAAGCATGGTGTCCCCCATCAAAAACAAGGATTTCCATGGATTTCCTGTAAATGTTCCTTAACTGTCCCAACCAATCCAATGATATGCAACAATATCGATGCTTCTTTGCAGTGATGCAATGGTTGGATCACCAGGTGTTGGAAGGACTGAAGCCAGCGATTCGACCTAAGGAGAAGCAAATGGCCCTGGCAAGAGCGCGGGAACTCGGGATGTGATGGGTCAGATGCTGATGCTATCGCTGCTATGATGTCTATGGGGGTGTCAGGATATGTCGGGATTTTATTGTTCTTATCCTCTGAAAAATATGAGTTCGTCAGTTGGGATTATGATTCCCAAATATTCCCAACTGAATGGAAAAATAAATTTCATGTTCCAAACCACCACTTTGTCACACTTTGCATTGCGCGCAACGTTTTGTGAGACGTTGCCCGGCAGTTCCAACCCACCAACCAGATATATAGCATTAGATAGTAGATGATAGTATTGGTATACGATATTGACAGACATTGTGCATTTAGTTACATTGTATCTATAGGATTCTATTAGATCTTACTAATGCTGGAGTATTTCGCAACAAATATATAAGCATATTATATATACATATCCATGGGAATCTCATCCAGTATGGTGAGCATAAATGATATAAATGCAAATGGGGTCAATTTTTTTAGACCTGGCAACTTGGGACTTCGGGAGCTTTCAGATTGTTCTCAGGTCGGCGTTGAGTGGGATCCTTGGAAGATTGCTGCGCAGCAAAATGCCACAGCGCAACCTCGCTGAATGAGGGGTCCAGTGGAGAAAACGAGTGCGGCAGTGCGGCGCTGGGTGTGGGGGGGTGTGATATCTAACCAAAAATCAAAATGTATGCTACAGTAGTTGTTTCGCAAACAGATGTGCATGTCTATTTATGTATTCATCTATTCACAATTTTATCCATAAATCTATTCATCAATCTACCAAGCTATCAATGCATCAATCTATCAATGAATCTATCAATCTAATCTCGTCTCATCTCATTTCGTTTCATCTTATCTTGTATCATCTCATTCCGCTTCATCTTATTTTGTCTCATCTCATTCCGTTTCATCTTATCTCATCGCATCCTGTCTATCGCATCGCATCGCATCTCATCTCATCTCATCCTAATCTATCTACATCTTACATCTACCACATCTACCTACATCCACCTACATTTACCTACATCTACCCACATCTACCTACATCTACCTACATCTACCTTTAATATATATATATTTATATTTATATTTATACATACCTACACATACCTAGATACATTTACCTACATCTACCTACACATACCTACATCCACCTACATTTACCTACATCTACCTACATGTACCTACATCTACCTACATATACCCACATCTACCTAAATCTACGTACATTGCATCTACCTACATCTACCTACATCTACCTACATCTACCTACATCTACCTACATCTACCTACATCTACCTACATCTACCTACATCTACCTATCTAGCTACCTATCTATCTGAATAGGTCTGTATGTCTGTATTTGTACCATTCCTATAGAATGAGATGGGGTAGTAGTGTTTATTTGACAACTATTGCTGGACACTTGATGAGTCATTTGTCTTTTTTATCCAGTGTCAACTTTTCAATGATCAGTCCATGCAATCTCCAAATGAAGTGTGCATTTTCGCAGTTTCCGTTTTTTTTTCAGTTTCCGAAGGAGACACCAGTATCGCACTTGGGTGCCTCATTTTGCTGCCATGTTTTTCCCAGTTGCAGTTCAGTTTCCGCAGCATTTGATGCCAGGATCAAAGCCAGGTCACATGGTGAAGGTGTGAACGGTGAAGAACCCCTCTCTCTAACTGGGTGATAAAATGTGATAAGACGTGACAAGCATGTTTATTGGGTATATATGGGTATATAATATTTGAACAGCTCTTACTCTGAACATGTTGTTGTCACTCAAGTTTTTCCTTGGTTCATTGAGTGTGCTAGTTGGGATGTTCGACCTGTCCAAAGTTGAAACCACGTTTCGGAGTTGTCGAATGTCGCCCCCAGCGTAAGTTGGACGTCTCGCGGCGCCCCACGTGCAGATGCCATGAGCCTGGGGCCCCATGGGTTTCAATACTGATATGGTCAGCCATGACTTGGATGATTTGGGAATTCCCTCATTACTAAAGAAAATAAGGAAACCTCCATCTGTTGGTCCAATTTGAGTTCAAATTTAAGCATCCTGAATCCTTGCCCGAAAAATCTGAAAGCACTTGGTGTCCACAAGACAGCTTGGTAGCATGGATATCCCGTGGCCCTTAGTCCAGTAAATTTGCGTTCTGCAGAGCTCTTCATACCCAGTCTAGCTAGGCAAGACTAGATCAAAGCCAAAGCAAAACGATGTTGAAAACGTAGCCGTTGGTAGCAGTTGGCAATGGGAGCGAAGGCAAAAACTGTTCGTAAAGAAACTACCAAGTCCCGAGAATGGCAGTCCAGGGGTGATAACCATTTCTTAGCAACAACTCATGTCCGGGCCCTAGTGAAATTCACATGTTTTTGGGAATGTTTGGAGTATTCAATTTTAATTCAAAATCTCACACAACTTGACAAACTGGTGTGGATTATCTTGGGATGTGTTTTGACCCGTGAAACGATAAGAAGTTTGAAAAACGATAAAACATGATAAAACCAAAAAGAGTCATTTAGAAGTAGAAGGGGGTTGAGACGTTCAAGAAATCTAGCCGAATTCTTGAAAACGACTCTGGTTTGGATGCCGGCTTGGCTCTTGGCCACAGGGCCAGGAGATCCTGCACGAGATGGGCACTACCTAAGCATTGTCCAACAATATGCAGTTTCGTTCCTTTCAGCTTTGCCGATGTATATTATGTGTACACAGATTGACACACACATATAATCACATACATAATTAATTAATCTACATATTATATATCTAAATATTTATATGATATATTGAAATATATATATACAATATTGGTGGGAGAGATCAGGATTGGTTTGTGACCTTTCCCATGACTTCATGACTGGGGTCATGCCACAATCACCAGGCCGCCCTGCTGGCGTGTTCGAGGTGGAAATCTGGGATCAATGGAGCTGTTAATAGCTATATAAAAAAAAAAACAACCTGTTTCAAGGAATCTCTCATGTTTTTTGTTGGGAAATAGAAACTATCATGACTATCAGCTATTGTTCATAACTTTGATTCATAACATATTTCTTCAATTTTTGATGTGTTCCTTTTCCTGTCTAGCGCCATCCGGGAGAATCTATCAGGATCTGATCCAAATGGCGATTTCTATGGAGTTTGATTAAGCATAGGGCTGGTGGGATTTATTTGTCATGGTTTCTTTGAACATATAATAATATAGCCTAAAAATGCTAGTATCAATCATCATTTTCCGTATCAAAATGATTCAACATGTAGTTGTTGGTGGTGTAATCACTCAAAAATGTGATGATTGATCACTGTTTTCCGGACTGAAAATTGACGTTTTGACTTATCCCCCTGTTATTATTTTGGTCAAATCGAGATTGGGTATGGGCATGGGCTATTTCATGTTGTTTCAGCCGAAATCCCTGGCATGTTTGAGCGTGTTCCGTCAATTCTCGGGGCGGTTTTGTGCCGTAGCCAAATCATCAGCTCAGACAACCCCATGCATTTCTCCGATATTAGTCCCCAAAAAGATAGAAAGTAAGCTCCCACTATTCTTCTAGCTTTTTGATTCTTTTTGGGGCTCGCTGTGCATTTGTCAACTTTTTCAAGCACCTTTCGCCCCCCAAAAACGTGATTCACCAGGTTCTGCCCTCCCCAGCTCTTCTGGTGAACCTTCGATCAGAAGTCACAGACACTGGGCCTTGAAGACCGCGAGAGTTTCTCAACATTTTCTAAAACAGTATGGGTAGGTACAGTATCTGGACTGATGGTGTATGGGGTATCATCCCCAAATAACCCTACTTCAGCTCTCTTCGGGTTAGTGATTATGATTCAGCCAGATGTTTGGGCTAAGAATTCAAGCATATTCAATTCAAAAAATGGGACCCCAGATTTTGGTCATCTGTGGTGTTTGACCATTCAATTTTGGGTTACCCATCTGTGACCCATAGCCCATTTGATCATATGTGTAGAAAAACAATGGAGTGCCCCAACAAAGTGACCATTGAAAATAGTTTTGGAATGGGAGGCTGAACCACCGACCGGTAATCCGTTTCTGTTGTCAGGAAAGACGGCTCTGGTCTTTGTTGCCAGTACTGCAGTCTTTCAGCAATGTGGATCAAACATGCTCAATCTTTTCCTCGTCTCATCCAGAAGTGGTGGTACAACAAATCCTAGAATTAACCAGCCGGTCTGTGTTGGGCAAGCTGTGACGCATACCTGTGTCATGTGTTTTTTTCCATGAAATATGGTTTATAGTTTATTGCTTCAAGGTACTGAAGAACCGATTGAAACATGTTGATCTATATATATATACTAAGTTCGTTTGATTGAGTTCAATGAGAATTCCCATGTTTGTTGGTCAAAATCCCCGTGATTCACAAGGTGCATTGTTTAGATCTTGATTTTTCTTGCTTAAAATCCCCATATATGACATGTATTCGGCAGCGCCAAGCACAAGGACGTGAACTCTGCCGGACTGCAGTTCCTGGGATACCAAAGTAAGGACGGAGCCGACGGAAAGATGGCTGGGATGGGTCATGCCACCAGTTGACGAACACCAGGGCAGCAAAGGTGTTGGATGCCCATTTAGGACCGACCGATTTGGGTAATGGTTTGTTGGTGTTTTCGCATTGGACAGTTCGATTTTGGCAGAAAATGATATTTCAGATTCGGCAACCCGCAGATGCACTGATGCACTGGTCACTTTGAGAGTAAGAAGTCTCAGAAGGCGTCCAATTTCAAGGGGTGCCCATGTTTGACCCGAACCCATGAACCAATTTGCCTGGTGGTTTTGAATATGTTTTGTCTATCCATCCCCATTTGAGATGATTGTATTATATAATATATGAATATTATATACCATATTATAGTATAGACTTCATTTGACCAGTCTTGTGCGCATGGGTTGAAACCACCTACAAGAAACCAAGAGCGATCTAGACTAGATCCTTCTATGCATCAAAACGATTCAATATAAGTATGTCAATGAAAATGGTTGAAACATATTGTAGGAAACTGAAAACCAACTCGGGACAAACACCTGATGGAAGTGAAGATGCGTCACCAGCAAGGATTGGACAAGTCAAATGCATTCAAATACCTATATGTTGCCTGGAATCAAGGATGAATATCCCGCTGCTTGGTGTTCACAATGTTGCGCCAGGGGGTTGATCTATATGGAGTTGTCTCAAAATTTGGAACTCCAATCCATCCCATGGTTTACCAATTTGTCCCATTCATATTGCCATCTTTGATCATTGTGGGGTATCCCCATAGCCTACAGCTAAATTTTGACTAAATAAGTATATGTATAACTTTGTTTATAAGTGTTGCAATAGCAGTATAGATTTACCATGATCGGTATCCCATATCCCCATTATGGTTGGTTTTACACCGATGTTGGTGGGTCAAATTTTCATGCACCCATGGATTATTAAGAATCGCCATCGGACAGGATTTGGTCCAAAAAGATGTTTTGGAAGCGTTGATTTCTGAAGAGGCGAGCGTTCCACTCCTGGGGGGCTTTGGTTGCCTGGTTGGAGTTTCATCATACGAATTCGTCCATATCAATAGTGGTGAAGGTGAAGACGGCCTACCAGAAATTATTGAAAATTGGCTTAAGATACTGTGGATGGAAGAAATCCTGCACCACCTTGGATGGTTGAAACCCTATAAATAATGGGATAAACCATCTATCAACTGGTGCAGGATTTCTTCCATCCACAGTATGATTTTGTCAAACCCAAAAGGGTGAATCCAAGAGCAATCAAGAAAATGGATGGGAGTGGTAGTTTCCCCAGTTTCATGGGCCCACGGTCATGAGATGGTCAACTATTAAGATGAATTGACAAGGATGGATGGCTGTGCGTCAAAGATTTGACATTGGATTGATTGATACAAGGATTGACTGAGCCATAGATTGATAAATTGCTATCTGTATCAAAGATCAATAGACTATGATAGACTGACAAAGTCATCATAGACAGACACAAAGACAGACAGACACAAAGACAGGCAGACACAAAGACAGACAGACAGACCGACCGACCGACCGACCCACCCACCGACCGACCGACAGACAGACAGATAGATAGATAGATAGATGAGGCGAACTAAGGCACCCTCGGGACAACCTCCCAAATCAGTGATGGTTCTCCAAGGAGAACCAGTTCCTGAGATGACTGTGTTTTAGGTTGTTGAGTTACAAGCTGACAATATTCAGCCAGATGAACAGATCTGCTTCACATCAACGCTTGAAAGTCGCGGACTGGTGTGTGTTCATTAAACTGAAACGACCCGCAGTGGCCTTACCATAGATGATGATTGGAAAGTGTGGAAGGGTTGTGGTAGTGTGCCATAGATGTTTGACAGAGAAAAGGTTTGGTGTAGCAGTAGAACCAATCCTTTGTATAGAGACACGCTATGACCAATGGTAAGAGGTGTTTTCGGAGAACTGCAAGTTGTATGTTTAGGTTGTATGTCCTTTGTTGTTGGGAATATCCGAATATCCTCATTGCTGTTCGCTTTATGTTCACTACTGCTGGTGATGTTCCTTTATAGCCACTTAGCCACTTATTGTTGGTCCGTCCCATGTCTATGTTATATCATTATTCTCCAGTCGCCCTGTGAAAGTTATATAATATATATATATACACACACCTCTGTTGGTGACATGTTCACGTGCTGGCTAAAACCCCCATGTCGCTTTATTATATCCCCATTAGTTCGTTAAATACCTGTGGTTGATTCAGTCTCCAGTTTTCTTGGTCAGCCTTTTCCTTTTTTTGGTCAATACTCCATGTGTTTTGCTGAAATCTTTGGGTTTGTTGATTCCATCTCCAGGTTTATCCTGCTTGCTTGATTACATTTGCATGTTTGTCGATTAAAACATCCGTCAGAATTGAGTCTGACATGTCTTAATATGTCTTAATGCATGCCATTGCCTTGCTCATTTTTATTTGATCCTTAACTGTCGGTCAATCCTTCGTTATTGCAGATTAATTCATCATTGTTGATTCAATCTCCATGTACATTCAGTCAATCGTCATGTCTTTTGATGCATTCCCATGCTTCCAAGTTGAATTATCTTAAATGTCCTTTTCTTTGCATGTTGGTAGTAAATAAGACCCAGGCATTATCGATATTTATCGATATGGTAGTGGTGAAACTTATATGTATATATATATATATGTATATATATATTTATATATATGTATATATATATGTATATATATATATGTATATATAGAAAATCTCCAAAGTAATATACAGTAATAGATTATAGATTATTATAGTACTATAAAGCTAGTGACATGAGCAAAATCTCTGCAGGATCGCGCCGACGCGGGCGTGTACCTCAAAGAAGCCTTGGATGGCGCTGCTGGCGACAAATCTCTGAAGGTGCCGAATGTGGCGCCACGAAGGATGGTTGGATATATCGATATGTCAGATCCGATCCTAAAATGGGATTCTATATTGGATATATATATATACACATAATATATATATGCATAATATATATATACATAATATATATATATACATAATATATATATACATAATATATATGTATACATAAAGATATATATATATTGGATTAGATGATGAGTATATTCAATAATCATATAGAATATTATATATATATATATTCTATATGATTATTTTAGATTCCAATCTCCAAATGGATCTGTTGATTCCAACTCATGGCAGGTCACTTGCATTGGCCGCACAGGCGATCCGGTGGCGAGTTTCAGAAACCACGGGAAAGCCATGGCTGGAATGTAGCATGCAGCATACCGATCTTTCACTGGCTGGATTTTTGTTGGGAACCAATTTTCAGACCCATTCCAACTTCGGACACCCCAAATCATTGTAGCCGACAGATGCAGCAGGGTCGAAGCCAAGCACGGCATTTGTGGCAAATTGGCTGGATCCATCAGTTGAAACGCCTCAACATGTCTTTTCTGAGGCCGTCTATCCCATGATTAGGATACAAAAATACATCTAAAATCTGTTGAACCAGGCTAATGTCTTTAAAATAGTGTCCCACCTTCCTTTGAATCATTATTTCTGGCTTCTATGACCATTTTAGTTGAATTTAGTTGGTTAATTTCCCAAAATATCCCATCTTTGTTGGTATCTTGAGTACCCTCCAACTACAGCTGCTACATTTGCCTCATCACACTATTGGTTGGGTCATGGACTGGATCGACCGATCATAACCGATCCATCTCATTGGTCAAAAAACGGTGGCTGTTGCTTCAACCATGTCGGATCCCAGGGTTTCTTGCCTGCTCTATGTCACTAATTTGCAATGTTCATCTGATATCATTTGATTATTGAATTAGTCATTTGCTTATGAAGTGATATCATAAGACTAAGAAAGAGTATCAAATATTGAAACAACAGTACTATCATCAGTACTATCAGAGGTATGTAGTATGACTAAAACCACTAGGTCATAGTGATACGATGTACAAAGTTTTAGTCATCAGTGTCATTGATCACGCCAGGTCGAAAGCAGGTGTGTCTTCGTGCTGCCACCACTCGCAGTGGAGGACCCTGTTGCTAGCCCTGAATCCGTGGCTCACCATGATCCCTATGAAATTTGAAATTTGGAGGAACATCCCATTTTTCAAAGACCCTCAAATGAAAACTGTTTTGTTTTTTTTTCGAGATTCATAAAGATGGTTGAATCCTGCATGGATGTGAACCTCGGTCCACGAATGGTGATTAATACCAGATTTTCATGAAGTGTCCCCAGGCCGCACCGAATCAATCTGAATCCCCCGGAGGAAAGCTGGACGGAGCCATCATTACTCTGCAAGATATGAGCGAAATTCGAAATCTGGCAGGTGCAATGGATGTGGGTTTGTCATTATCATCAAGGGAAAGATTTTTATGGGAAATATAGAAAGTTCTACATGGTTGCGGGGTTATATATTTGATTCTATTTCTATTTATTTAGAACTGGAAGAATGTTGGTTAAATATCAACAATCATCAACAAAGGGGGGGTGGTGGGGCTTAAAAAAAAGTTGTATATAACTTGATAAAATTGAACAGTGTGCTACTCGTATGGAAAATCACCATTATTGATAGATAGATCATCTATGAATTTGCAATTTTACATAGCAAACTGCTAAACCACCAGTGGGTATCCTAATTTACGGGGATGTTCAAGGGGGACAAATAAGACCATGGCATTTTTGGGCTATCCTATTCTAAGACACATGTTGAAACTCAATCCTGTAATGGATTGGCATCAAATGTTGGCCATGAAAATGGACCCCTTACTTGGATGTGCAGCCCCAGTTGACAAGTGGGGAGCCATAGTTGCAGGGATTACATCCAAATTTCCGGTGGCAATAAAACATGGTCTCCAAGTCAGGGCGGTAAGCGATTGCAACTGGTTGATTGTTTGTTCTAAATACGGGTTTGTCTGAAAATAGAGTACTTCAAGATCCCATGGTTGATCATCATCTTCTCATTCGCGTTGCCATATCTTGTGGTAAATCCCTTATTTTCAGAGACATCGTAGTATGGGGGGTTCCATAAATGAAGGCACCCCAAAATGGATGGTTTGTAATGGAAAATCATATTGAAACGGATGATTTTGGGGTACCTGGGGTACCCCGATTTCAGGAAACCCCTTTGCGTCTAAAGCATCAGAGGGCCCTGTCGTTGGCAGGTGCCACCAATACGGGCGGTGCGGAACATTTATCTGGAGCCCTCAATGCCATTGGCACTGCGTTGTTGCTGGGCATCGCAAGCGAATATCAGTGATTTAATGGGTGGGTTTCACATACATTACATATGTTAATGACTTCCCCCTTATTTAGGATGCTGATGCAGAAAGACTGTGATATGTGTGTCAGGTTTCTAGGAATCACATCGGGCATGATTACTTAGAAGCAACCGCCTCGAAGTCACCTTATTTCGGGGTGAATCATCCAAAAACCACACACACACAGGCACGGCCTCTTCAAAACGCCATGACACCATAAACAACCCCCAAGGGTTTAGTGGTGGTTTAGTGGTGGATGTCTTTATCGGGGGTTCACTTTGAGAGCGGTGTTTATTATTTGGATTGCGAGATTACATGTCAGTGGCATAGTGATCAAACATGGCTGGCTGCCAAGCCTTTCCTGTAGAGGAAAATCATCGACCCACACCGGTGATTGTATTGATTGCCAGATTGTGTCACCTGAGTCATGTAAATGTCCATGCTTCTCCATGTTGTACGGTGGCTTAATAACTTTGTGCCACCACAACCACCACCACCACCACCACCCACCACCCACCACCCAGCAGCAGCATCATCATCATCATCACCACCACCATCATCATCATCATCATTTTTCTGTTTTTTGGCTGAAATCCCCTGTCAAGGGGCTGGTTTCATTTGCGCTCGGCCAGGTTTGCGCTGGACACGGAGGGCAAGATCTTGGAATGGACTCCCAAGATGGAGAATCTTGGCAGGGCAGATTAGGTAGAAAGGCTGGGGTCGAAACTTGATCATGCGGCAACCCCAGAGCCGTAAACCTTACCTAAGTTTTACCAAGAATGAGTGGTTTGAACCCTCCACACTTAAAGACGTAAACGTGGCATTCCCATATGCTTTGTGTACTTGTAAAGGACCACCAAAATGAGTAAAAGCATTGGAAACTTAACCATTGTCGTGAGGTAAATGAAAGTGTTGACATATTCAAAATTACTTTTACTTCGGGTGATCCCCGCTCTGACATACTGTTTTGACATTCTATTTGACACTCTATTCGGCATTCTATCTGACATATATACAGGTGTGGCCCACAGCATCCGGAGTTGGCGATATGGTGTTCGGGTCCAAGCGTGGCCCACAGCATCCGGAGCTGGCGATGTGTTGTTCGGGTCCAGGCGTGGCCGGCAGCATCCGGAGCTGGCGATGTGGTGTTCGGGTCCATGCGTGCCCAAGTGCATCCGGAGCTGGGAGGAAGACAGCAGTGATTTGTGCATGAAATACACACATGCCAAATTTATGTTATGTATACAGTCAGTGTTTGAATGGCAAGACTTTGAACCAGTTTGAAAGCAATCTGGAAACGGTTGAATCCAGTCTGTGTGTCTTGTCTTCACCCTTGTTTTCCTGCTGAGATTAACATCGGATTAAACCAAAAAAACAATGTCTTAATTCAAAAGTATATATCCAGTTATAGTGCATATAGAAAAAATATATATATATATAATATATATATATAAATATCCACCTCAAGCAGCGGCATTTAGGCAATATCAGGTTACATCATGTTATATCCGATGTCATCCTCATCTTAAACCACGTGTTGGTTAAATCAACAGTTTTGTCCAGTCAAGTCCCCCCTCTTATGTACTGTCATAGTAGCATCATGTAAAATAGGCACCATCTTTTCTCACCTTTATTTGAGTTTTATGTAGCAACGAAATTCAAACCAAATTTTATTAATATTTTGTTCAATAGTAATATACCCGAATATACCGTAGCAATGGTAATACCATAGCATTTACATCATTATCAATATCACCCGTGCCATGATACCTATGCATTGGTGGGGCAGGTCGGGTCGCGGCAGTTTCAGCCAGCCAGCCAGCCAGTCAGCCAAAGCGGCGGAATCAGCCAGCCAGCCAGCCAGCTAAAGCGGCGGAATCAGCCAGCCAGCCACACAACGCGGCGGAATCAGCCAGCCAGCCAGACAGCCAACGCGGCGGAATCAGCCAGCCAGCCAGCCAGCCAAGACGACGGAACCAGCCAGCCAGCCAGCCAAGACGGCGGAATCAGCGAGCCAGCCAAGGCAGCGGAACTATCCGAGCAAATATGGCTATGGCCTGTATAGATATGGATGTGGGACGGTGTGAGTAGATGTATGTGAATGATATCGGTAGGTATACCTCTGGGAAGATGCAGTTATACCACTAGAGTGGTGGCACCCTGATTTTCAGAAACAAGCGCCGGAACTGAACCGAGTAGTTAAAGGTGAATCGAAGCTGGAACATGTCCGCGGAAGAGTTGGGGGAGGCTGCTTGGGTTCTCGCAAGGTAGCCCCCGGTTGGTTCCAAAAATTCCAAGACCGCGGCTCTGAAACTCAGCTTTGGCCCACTGATGCTGCATCGCTTGTCACTGGCGACGCTTGCTACATTCCTTGGCTCAAGGTGCCGACGGCGAAGAGTAGGCATTGATGAGATTCGGTCAGTCGTGAAATTATGTCAAATTCGAAGACGGCCTAAAATTAGTGCTTGATTAGTATCACGTCAGTAGCCTGGGTAGAGGCACTCAGTTGCAATTTGCCCAGACGCCGGGTAAAATTCAAAACTAGACATCGCTTTGACCATGAACTTGTATCAGCCTGTTGTTGGTGCGCAGCGCAAGTATGATACTCGCCATCCATTTCCGGGTCCATGGATGTCCGGGTCCTTGACTCGGCCGATCACGCAAGTTGATGTCGGTTGGTTCGATCTTTCATTGTGTGTGTGCCCGTGCTGGATGCTTATATATATATATATAATTTCTATGTATGTATTTCTTTTGTAAAGGTGTTTACATACATACATTTGTACATATGAATGTATACCTGCTTGTCTGTTATATGTACGTATGTTTGTCACATGTATACATGTATATATTTATATATACACATGTAGATACGCATAGATGTATTCCATGCTGGTGATACAGACCTTCCTGTGGCATACCGTCCCGATCATCAAATCACAATGACAATACTGAAATTGATGGAACAGAAGTGCGTCAGTAGATTAAATTAGGTTTACTACGTTTACTACGGTGAAGGAGCAAAATCTAGCAATTGTAAAGGAGCAAACTCTAGCAATTGGGTGACGCACGCACACAGACTGAACATGCTCAGACGCTATTACTTAGGCCCAACAAATTGCAGTCTGTCGGACAGAGATTGACCAGGCAGGGAGACGCCGAAAGTTGAAGGTCCATCCACGCAGGTATTTGGAACTCGCCTTTCATGATCTCACAGGTCTTTTCATCAGTTCTTTTCATCATCTCTTCGGTGCTTTCTTCTTGCCAGAACTGACATGAACCGACCTGAGCCGACTGTGCATTTTAAGCTTGATTTGTCAGCGAGATTGATTTTGTTTCAGTGGAAACTCATAGTAGTTGACACGGCGCAAGGTGTCAACATAGTTTACAGATATGAATTTTCAGACATGCCGGAAGGATTCATAGTTCAGGACTTCAAGATTTTAGCGCGCGAAGTTGGTTTGGCCAATATTTGCCCGGTGTTTTGCATATCGGAACCGGACGTTTCAGCTGGGACCCTGTTTGTTTTGGAACGGTAGCAGACGCTAAGGCGGCGAAGACGCTACGACGCCGCAGACGCAAAGATGCCGTGCACGCTGCAGACGCTACGACGCTAAGACGCTAAGATGCCGTGCGCGCCGCCCACGCTGAAACGCCGCAGGTGTTGAAACTACGCGGACGCCGCAAATACAGTCGCAGTCCGTAGTTATATGCGCAGAAATACTGAAAGCGTTAGACGTGCAGAGCCTGCAGATGGCTCTCCGTGACGCAGGTTAAAATCACTGCTCATCTCCACTGCGACGCTCAGAGGACACCGCAAATCGCTGAAATGTCGTAACACCGCCGACGCTATGACGCTATAAGACGCTATGACGCTAGGTTAAGACGCTAAGACGCCGCAGATGGTAGGAGGCTACGGCGTCGCAAAACAGGTTCGAGCTAGAAAAAAAATCATTCTACTTTATGTTTTGAGTCGTTCCCGTTGTCAGCGCGAATTTGCACATGACTGTGCATTTTAAGCTTGATTTGTCAGCGAGATTGATTTTTTTCAGTGGAAACTCATAGTAGTCGACTCGGCGCAAGGTGTCGATATAATTTACAGATATGAATTTTCAGAAATGCCAGAAAAATTCATAGTTCAGGACTTCAAGATTTTAGCGCGCGAAGTTTGGCCAATATTTGCCAGGTGCTTTGCATATCGGAAGGACAGCGCCGCGCAAGTCCGCCATCAGGCCAAATGCGGAGGGCTAAAAATAATTTAGCCCGCTTCGCAAACACGGAAACACCAACACGCCGCATATACTCACAAGCAGAAAAGCCGCAAAGCCAGACACGAACGGTGGGTGTGCTGAACCACATAAACGCAGCAAATTCAATGGCAGCAACGCAGAAACGCCGTCGACGCCGAAACGCGAAACGCCGGAAACCCCAACACACTGAAGCCCTGCTGCCGGCGCCAAAAAGCCACAACGCCGCAGACCCTGAGACGCCCTATAGACACTGAGACGCTAGGACGCTACGACACCGCAAATTGCTGAATTGCCGTAACACCGCACAGACGCTAAGATGCCTTAGCCTAGACGCTAAGACGCCGCAGACGCTATGACGCTAAGACGCTACGACGCTAAGACCCGCAGATAGTCAGACGCGACGACCGCGCAAATCAGGTTCGAGCTAGAAAAAAAGTTTCTTTCTATACTTTATGTTTTGAGACGTCCCCGTTGTCAGCGTGAATTTGCACATGACTGTGCATTTTAAGCTTGATTTGTCAGCGAGATTGATTTTGCTTCAGTGGAAACTCATAGTAGTTGACACGGCGCAAGGTGTCAACATAGTTTACATATGAATTTTCAGAAATGCCGGAAGGATTCATAGTTCAGGACTTCAAGATTTTAGCACGAGAAGTTTGGCCAATATTTGCCCGGTGTTTTGCACAGTGCCGCGCAAGTCCGCCATCAGGCCAAATGCGGAGGAAGAGACAAACAGAGAAGGGGTTGTCCCAAGGATCATTTTCGTTTTGCACATGCAACTGCCTACAGGACGCACGTGTCCGAATGGATTGTGTAGCTGCATTTGTAGGCCCTGCGGCTCAGGTCCATGCCAGTGGGGTCCAGAGTAGCGTGGAAACAAGTTATTGGAAAAGAGGGCTGAACTAGTTGACCGTAACACACTGCTCATCATGTTGACATTTTACCACCACGCATGTTGTTTTGCACTAGCCATTTTCTGCACCATTGCATTTTGCATTTTACCACCACGTGTCGCGAGACACAATGCGATGGAGACCACGCCGGCACTGAACGAACCCATTGTCATATTCCAAGGGAAATGGGCAAGATTAGTCCTCGATGGTGTTAAAACAATGGAGGTGCGGCACCAGCCCCTTGGAAAGGGACTTTTCTGGATTGGCATCACAAAGCCGAACGCAAAAAAACAGCGGAAGAAACCGCTCGTCGTGGGACGCTTTGAAGTCGTTGGCCAGCAACTGCTTACCAGTGATAGTGCTTGGCTGGAGCTCCAACAACGACATTGCTGTGAATCGGTGAAGAGACCATATGCAACCACATGGTGCATGGAGATTGGTCAAGTGGAGAGATGTCAGCCAGTGCCTTTTGTTTGGATGCCAGGTGTCGTCAATCGCACTAAGTTCCGACCAGTTGTGCCACATGCCAACCCACCATCAGGAGCTGAGAAGAAAACAGAGAAGCGCCGATCGCGGCGGAAGTCGGCTTTGACCCCTTGGCCAAAGAAACGATGCAAAAAGGTGTAGCCTTCACGTCTTGATTCTGGCTTGCAATGGAAACCTTCCTTGGCTTGTCCCATCGGGCGAACCAAACGTCCTAGCAAAAAGCGGCTCAGATCTCATCTTTGGGGAGATGACCGTCTGGCTAAGGCCGCAGCCCAAGATCCAGGAAGAGCGACTGGCTCGCGGCAGTCCGGGAATGTAGTTGCTGCAGGGCGGATTGCCGCAGGCCGAACATCCCAGCAGCTTGCCAACTTGATGGCTTTTCGGCCGTACCAAGAGCATTCTGCTCCAAAGTTGGGCCTCATGCCCAAGGCAGGGGTTTTTGGCAAGCTCCATGGTGAGGATGTGCTCATATTAGATCATTTCAAGTTTCGAGGGCGCGACCGTTGCGATGTTGTTCCGTTGGAAATGCAGTGCGGTGGTCAACTGCTTGCTCAGCCAGATCAAGTCGCTACTGTCTGGGCATCTGACGTTGTTGGTTTGCACACTGACTTCGTGTCCGTTCCTAGAAAGAGGAGAGCTTGCAGATACGATGCCGAATCGAAAGTGCATCAAACGTATCGTGCACATGTTGCCACTGTAAGAACACAAGTGTTGCATCAGCACACTTTTTGTTGTGCCGTTTTGATGCTATTTGATGCTATCCGGAGGCCCTGTCACCACATACATTCTGCTTTTTACTTGTTACTTGGGCGATGCTTTGGGATCATTTGGGTGACATCCGGTGCCGTCCACAGGCTGTGTACCTAGAAGTACCACACATATTATCTGTGTGCCTTGAGATCGTTGAGTTTGGTTGTTTCGACCCTTTTGGATGAATTTTGCTGCTTGGACATTGGACCTCGATGCCCTGGATGTGGAGTGAGACATAGACTTTTAAGTTCAAAGTGGCTACAATAGTTAGAGGTATGATATCAATCCTCTCCATCAGTAGATTTGGAATGAAACATGGATCTTTAAGGTCAAAAAGTGGCCAGTTTTGAAGTTGCTGGGTTGCATTTGCATAGCTCCTAGGATGCAAGTCTGTATGTTGTTTGTTTGCCTGTCTATACGTATGTTGTTTTGCTGCTTCTTTTACCGTTGGGTCTTGCATGTGGCACCCCAGCGGCCAGTCATGTGCAGGAGCAACGACCAGCGCTTCCTGTTCCAGCCAAATGATGATGGAATGCAAGGGTGCCAATTGGCTGCCAACCAAGCAACCGTCACTTGCAATTCATTGGCCGATGTGACAATCATGAAATCAAATTGTTTCTTTTTCATCTTCAGTACATGTCGCATTTTCAAGGCCATTTAGAAAAAAACAGGCTTGTTGTTGGTTTCAAAGAGCAATGCCATTAGACATTAGTTGTGCCTTCTTCACTGAGGCGCTGGAAATAGGTGCAGTGTGTCATTTCGACCAAGATGAACTTCCTGCCGCGCCTCAGGACGCTTGGGTGAAACCCATGAGCATTATGCCAGCAGCAGCGAAAGAGCATTTGCGCTTGCCTGGCAACCACAATGTTCAACCTCGAACAGACCACCGACAAAAAACACAGCTGGTCTGGGATTTGCCGTTGCCGCGAATTATTGATTCGAGGCCATGTGTTTGCACCACCTGTCGTCGCTCAAGTGAACAGCCCGAGTGCTTGATGTGGCATGTCCAACCTTCGGAACTTCACGTCTTAGTGCACAAGCGGCCAAAGAAGGGAAACATTTGGTTTACGCGAACGTTCCTGCTGTTCGCGGTCCAAGATTTTTACGAACATTGGAACGCCAAGTCCCTCCGAAGAATGCTGGCGACGCATTATGCTTGGAACTCAATCACCTTGTTGCAGCGGGCCCAGCCCAAATGGCGGATTTGTCGGTTACCCTTTGCAAACACACTTCGCAGTATGCTGTTCGATGCCTTGGAGCACTGGCTTCCGACCATTTGTGGCCCGCTGCAACAAGCAGTTTTGCAGTATTCTGGTCAGATTGTTCGCGGCGATGGCAACTACAAAATAGGTAAAAAACTGCTGTCTCATGCTGATGGGAAGCCCTGTCGTGTCATTTTGGCCTGGACTGGACTGGACGGTTGCCTTTTGCAGCCGCCGACAGCGTCCCCTACTGAAGACATTGCGGACATCGAGCCAGACCTGCGAAGCTTGCTCCAACAAATCAGAACCGCTCGCCTGGCTGCTGGCTGTAGTTTGTTGGAATCGCAGCCGGTGGCCCACTGTACCGATCGGTACGGCCAACACCGTCTTCAACTGCAACGAATCTATCAGCATAATGTCTGGGGAGAAAACGCCTTAGTAGTCGAGGCTTCCACTGCGAAGGGTGATGCAGTTTCAGTCAGTGCTCGGGACAAGAACGAATTGACCCAGATCACAGGAGACCCGTTTCATGATGTGCTGGCCTTGCGCAGAGTCGCCGCTTGTCGCTTGCCAGACGCTGCCACCATGGTGCGGGATCACATCGATTGTTTGGGCAGGCTATCGGCGCCGGTGGAGCTAGCTACTGCCAAACGTAATGCAGCAGAACTGATTGAGCTCGACTCTGGCCTGCACTTCCTGCTGCGAGCAACCGTCACCGAATCAGCAAGTGTTTGGGCGTGCCTTGGCTGATTTTAGTCGGTAAAGTTGTGCCAAATTCGAGTATATCACATCATGTAGCAGCAACATGTTTTTTTTTCGGTCGTCCCACGTCAGCCGCTCAGGCAGACTAAAGCAGCCAACACAGAACACTTGTCAGCTCTCCGTGCCTTTTTGGTCCAGCAAAGGGTTTTGGAAGCAAAGACATGGAAGAACGTCTTCAATGCAAAACCACCACGCAGAACATTGGAACAGATTTGCACCAGAGTTGGGGCCAAGCCAGTCCATGGTTTCTTCAATTATCGTGACAGTGGTGCATTCCAGACGGAGTTGAAGCGCATTGTGCTCTGGTACAACCGACCTAGAAGAGCGACGGCGCAATCACAGAAGATGCCACGCAGCAAGCGGCAAAAGAAAACCTTGGTCGCCAACCGCAAAGCCATGACAGACAAAGTGAAGGGTCATTACACCCGCCTCCTCAAAGCCCCTGCGAATCGAAGGCATGCTGGCTTGGAAAAAAGTTGCTTTGGAAGTGCGAGCTGCGAGTGTTCCTTTACGGACTGGCACCATGAGCGTCGAAAAATTTTGGGCCTTGTTCTATGACTACATACCGAAGTCGACAACCAGGATCAGCTTACGATTCTTCCGCATCTTGGCCCAGTTGGTGCTCATTCGTTTCAACATCGTGCATTTCACCAGTGGGAATCTACCAGGATGGGTTGATGGAGACACGCTCTTACACCAACGCTTGGATGCCGCAGACGCAGCCCTCCGGTTGCTCATGGGTGGTGGTTGTAATGGTGATGGAGACAGTAGCGGGGCATCTGCTTTGTTCGATCCTTTCTTGGCTATCAACTAGCACATGCCACAGGCGAGTGCTTGCGTGTTCGGGACAAAGACACTCTCAGCTGATTGCGCTGTGGAAATAAGCTTCTCAGATTTGCAGACGACAGAGTGTGTGTGTTTATCTCTAAATCCATCTGTGCATCGATCTCTCCTCTATATACCTGCCTATGTATCTCTCTCACCTGACTGTCGAAAGGACTGTTTTCATGAATCGGATCAAATATTTCATGAAGCAGATTTCTTGGCCAACAATCTACAAGGACCAAGGGTTAAAAACTCGAAGGTGCTCTTTTTTTTGACTCATGATCGAATCTTGCCGCTTCTGAGTGAATCCGGGTTTTCTATGGTCTAATCATCCTGTAGCCACCTCATCATGAACATCATGACAGGATATGACACGAGGTGAGGCCCCCCAAGATTATTGGCATGCATCAATGCATTCGCGGTCCAGGCGAGGCCTCAAGGGCTCCTGGCATGGTAGTGCCAAGTCTGTAGCCTATTGAGTGGGATACTCAGATTTTTCAGTGGCAGGTTACGGGAGGTGACGCATTCGTCAAGAGTTTGTGATTTCTGAGTTTCCACGGAATTTGAAAGACAATTGAAAGATATTGGAAGTCTTGGCATACCTTGGCAGATCTTAGGCATTCATATCGCTGGGTTTTGTTCAAAGCTTGGCTGAGGCTGAAGGCGGCCATTGGAGTTCTTTCCTCAGACGCTGTGGCGCATTCATCTGGTCGCCAAATGGCATGCAGTCTCTCAAATTGAACGCGGCAAGCCGCGAACTTCAAGAGTTTGTGATTTCCGAGTTTCCGCGGAATTTGAAACACAATTGCAAGATATTGGAAAGTCTTTGCATAACTTGGCAGATCTTAGGCATTCATATCAGTGGGTTTTTGTTCAAAGCTTGGCTGAGGCTGAAAGCAGCCATTGGAGTTCTTTCCTCAGACACTGTGGCGTATTCATCTAGTCCCACCATGGCATCCAGTGATTCCCAACGCACGCTGTCTCTCACATTGAACGCGGTAAGCCGTGAACTTGACACTGTCAACCATCAAAGCCGAGCAAGAATCATTCAGATGTCACGCAGCCTTGGCTGCCCAAGATGGCACTGCCGCCCACTTGCCCATCGTGCTGGGATGACATACATTCCGATCAAGCTGCAGTCCTGCCCTGTGGTCATGTCTACCATCATCACTGTCTGGTCCAGGGTTGGGAGGCTTGGAAGGTGCGGCATGGCGCATCTGACGCAGACGTGCAGGGGCTTCCCTGCCCAATTTGCCTAAACAAAATGGACTCGCGAATGCAACGTGCGCCCAGAGACACGGACCAGGCCGGTTAACTAACAAAATTCAGGTGACGCATGCATTGCTGTTCAAATTGTGAATGGCCTGCTAAAACATGCCGGTTTCGGGTCGCCGGTTGCTGTCCTTCCTTGCCAGGTTCCAGACTGTCCTCCACGAGAATCCGCCATAGAAGCCGCGCCTGAGGCGCGGGCTGCGTCGAGGTACCCTGGTCCACTGGTACACTGTACACTGAGCACGCCTCGTTATCCAGATGAGCAGTTTGCGCGAAACTTTCGTGTTTCGATGCCAGCAATGTTGTTTGATCCCTGCGGCGAATCCGGGCAGGTGCAAACACTATGCACCTTTGAACCGGTTTTGATCGCCCGCGCCAGGCACTGCCGAGTCCAAAACTTGCAGCCAAAGAGGAAGCCGCATCGCCGAGCACATCTCAGGCGCCGATTGCAAACTATCACCTTGCACTAATTCCTGTTCACGACTTTGCTCAGGCCACTTCAGGGCAAGGGAGGTCTCCGCAGGCGGGAGACCAGTGTGTGGTAGGGAGCATGCTGTGCCGGTGGTTGTTGTTGCAAGCTGTCACCTTGCACTGATTCCTGTCCACGACACTGCTCAGGACACCCCACGGCAAGATAGCTCACCCAAGGCTGGAGACCAGTGTGTCGCAGGAAGCATGCTTTGAATCAGCTCTGTGCCGTGTCCCTGTCATCCTGCTTTGCCGATGGTTGTTGTTGCAAGCTATCACCCGACTGTGCTCAGGCCACCCCAGGGCAAAGGAGGTCACCGCAGGCGGGAGACCAGTGTGTGGTAGGGAGCATGCTTGAATCTCATCTGTGCCGGTGGTTGTTGTTGCAAGCTGTCACCTTGCACTAATTCCTGTCCACTGCTCAGGCCACTTCAGGGCAAGGGAGGTCTCCGCAGGCGGGAGACCAGTGTGTGGTAGGGAGCATGCTGTGCCGGTGGTTGTTCTTGCAAGCTATCACCTTGCACTGATTCCTGTCCACGACACTGCTCAGGACACCCCGCGGCAAGATAGCTCACCCAAGGCTGGAGACCAGTGTGTCGCAGGAAGCATGCTTTGAATCAGCTCTGTGCCGTGTCCCTGTCATCCTGCTTTGCCGATGTTTGTTGTTGCAAGCTATCACCCGACTGTGCTCAGGCCACCCCAGGGCAAAGGAGGTCACCGCAGGCGGGAGACCAGTGTGTGGTAGGGAGCATGCTTGAATCTCATCTGTGCCGGTGGTTGTTGTTGCAAGCTGTCACCTTGCACTAATTCCTGTTCACTGCTCAGGCCACTCCAGGGCAAGGGGGGTCTTCGGAGGCGGGAGACCAGTGTGTGGTAGGGAGCATGCTGTGTCCTGGTTGTTCCTGCAAGCTATCGCCTTGCGCTGATTCCTGTCCACGACTCTGCTCAGGACACCCCGCGGCAAGATAGCTCACCCCAGGCTGGAGACCAGTGTGTCGCAGGAAGCATGCTTTGAATCAGCTCTGTGCCGTGTCCCTGTCATCTTGCTTTGCCGATGGTTGTTGTTGCAAGCTATTCACCCGACTGTGCTCAGGCCACCCCAGGGCAAAGGAGGTCACCGCAGGCGGGAAACCAGTGTGTCGCAGGGGCATGCTTGAATCTCATCCTTGTGTGCCGGTGGTTGTTGTTGCAAGCTCTCACCTTGTATGAATTCCTGGTTCACGACTTTGCTCAGGGCACTCCAGGGCAAGGGAGGTCTCCGCAGGCGGGAGACCAGTGTGTGGTAGGGAGCATGCTTGAATCAGCTCTGTGCCGTGCCCCTGTCATCCTTATGTGCCAGTGGTTGTTGTTGCAAACTATCACCTTGCACTAAATCCTGTTCACGACTTTGCTCAGGCCACTTCAGGGCAAGGGAGGTCTCCGCAGGCGGGAGACCAGTGTGTGGTAGGGAGCATGCTGTGCCGGTGGTTGTTCTTGCAAGCTATCACCTTGCACTGATTCCTGTCCACGACACTGCTCAGGACACCCCGCGGGAAGATAGCTCACCCCAGGCTGGAGACCAGTGTGTCGCAGGAAGCATGCTTTGAATCAGCTCTGTGCCGTGTCCCTGTCATCCTGCTTTGCCGATGGTTGTTGTTGCAAGCTATCACCCGACTGTGCTCAGGCCACCCCAGGGCAAAGGAGGTCACCGCAGGCGGGAGACCAGTGTGTGGTAGGGAGCATGCTTGAATCTCATCTGTGCCGGTGGTTGTTGTTGCAAGCTGTCACCTTGCACTAATTCCTGTTCACTGCTCAGGCCACTCCAGGGCAAGGGGGGTCTTCGGAGGCGGGAGACCAGTGTGTGGTAGGGAGCATGCTGTGTCCTGGTTGTTCCTGCAAGCTATCGCCTTGCGCTGATTCCTGTCCACGACTCTGCTCAGGACACCCCGCGGCAAGATAGCTCACCCCAGGCTGGAGACCAGTGTGTCGCAGGAAGCATGCTTTGAATCAGCTCTGTGCCGTGTCCCTGTCATCTTGCTTTGCCGATGGTTGTTGTTGCAAGCTATTCACCCGACTGTGCTCAGGCCACCCCAGGGCAAAGGAGGTCACCGCAGGCGGGAAACCAGTGTGTCGCAGGGGCATGCTTGAATCTCATCCTTGTGTGCCGGTGGTTGTTGTTGCAAGCTGTCACCTTGCACTAATTCCTGTTCACGACTCTGCTCAGGCCACTCCAGGCCAAGGGAGGTCACCGGAGGCGGGAGACCAGACGTTGAGGAGGCATGCTTTGATTCAGGTGTGTGCCGCCTCCCTGTGCCCGTGGTTGTTGTTGCAAGCTACCACCTTGCGCTAATTCCTGTTCACGACTTTGCTCAGGGCACTCCAGGGCAAGGGAGGTCTCCGCAGGCGGGAGACCAGTGCGTGGTAGGGAGCATGCTTGAATCAGCTCTGTGCCGTGTCCCTGTCATCCTTATGTACCGGTGGTTCTTGTTGCAAGCACTCACCTTGCACTAATGCCTGTTCACGACTGTGCTCAGGCCACTCCAGGGCAAGAGAGCTCACCGCAGGCACGACGGTGTGCGGTACACCGCTCGCGCGTGAAACGGCTTTTCTGTGCATTTTGTTTATATGTCTCATACGTCTTGTGATGGGTGCCTATCTCCTGAAAACATAAACATTGAACGCGAAACGATTTGTCTATCAATCTTGTTTGCTGCGTCTGGCGTCGTCTTTGTCAAGACCGTGCAATCCTAAGCTTTCTGCCCACAGGCCAGCCAACCATTGATGAGCCAGGACGAGATCTTTGGCCACCGATTCCCAGCTTTCCAATCACCAGCTAGAGGTCGAGACGCAGATCCGATGACAGACTTGCTACAGCAACTCGCTGAAGGTCGCTTGTTGAGCCCTGATGAACTGCATGTCGACGACTTGTTTGAAGGTCTCATGGAGCCAGCCGAAGTCCGACAAACAGTGAAACAATGGTTGGAGGATATCAACAGGGACCAAAAGAACCACATAGAAGTTGGCTCTGCGCCATGCTGCCAACGCAAAATGCTACCAAAGCCTTTTGCCCAAGCCTTTCGAGTCCTGGCGATCTCGCAAGGATGGGCCTGGGAAGCAGTGTGCCAAGCTGTTTTTGCCATGCAGGCATTTCTGGAGCATCCGGAGACACGCCTCAAGGAGTTTGCGGAGGAGATCCACGATCGAGGTCCCAGTATTCCAGCTTTTGCTGGTCTTGCTGCATCTGATCGAAAGTCAAGCTTGGTCAAATGGGTGTCGGGCATGATGATCGATGTCCCGGAGCTTCCAGACGACGTTCGGAGTGGAACTACGGTGTGCAATGATGGCACCCTTAGGGGACTGAGAGAAGCTCTGTCGAATTATTCCAGGGGTGGTCTCATCTCCGACGAAGTGTCCAACACTTACTGCACTTCCTTCAGCGAAGCAAAAGAAAAGTCAGGCATTCACTATGTCAATAGATCGAAGATGTGTACGTATTGTAGTCAGGAGAGAGATTCGTCCCAGGCGGGTTTGGTCCGGGGGGCAATGCTTTAAGTTTAGAGTGCGCATATCTTTTGCCTTGTTTACTCCACCTCCTTGTTTGGTGTGTCATTCGGTCGCTGTCGACTGCCAAAGCAGCCTGTCTATTGCTATATGTCGCCCATCCATGCAGGTCGCGGCCGGCCGCTTCGATGTCCAGCACTACGCGTGGGTGCACTTGGTCCTGGGGCAAAGGGAAGCCACGGCTGAGGCCATGAAGCCAACCTACGGTGGCTTTCAGAAAAGGTTTTCGTTGATCTTTCCGCCAGCCGCAGCCGAGCAGGACAATGAATTGCCTTGCACAGGCGCCATGGCCCTGTGCACGCGGATGTCGCGGCTCATGGCTCGACAAGGGAAACAAAAGCAAATCATGGTGTTAGACACAGAAGCCAGGACCTTGTTCAAGGCGGTTGTCATGGGAGTGCAAGATTTGATCCGGGACCATGACCAATTGGACCCCTTTTTGCTTCAGAAGGTCAAGCTACATGACACGGACATCCTGCGTTACACAAATGTTGTTCGGCGAATGCTGCAGACATTGCAGGGACAAAGTGATGAGGCCCGCGCAGAGGCATCGCTGGTCGAAGTCGTTTATGCGCTCCACCAGTGGCATCGGCAGCTGCAGTACCATGCAGCTTTCTATCGCTGGGCCAAGGACAAGTGGCCGCAAGCTGGTCTTCAAGCGCCAGCTCAACCAGCGCAAGCGGAAAAACAGCTTAGTCACAAGCTTTGGGTGCAGAAGGAATGGTTGACATCACCCAGATTCCGAGGGGAAGTCACCTGGAACAAAGCCCGAGACATTGTGCGGCACAAGCTCGCTTACAGGAACTGCAGTGATGTCCGGCGTGCATTGCAAGAAGCCATCAGTGACATGATTGACAAAGGCCTGCTCAACAAATCCACAGAGAACGTAGCAGAGCAACCAGAGAGCCGAAAAAGGAAGACCATTGAGAAGTACTCCAGGGTGCCTTTCAGCATTTTGCGCCGGTATCCTGACAAGATCGAGTACTGCAACGATGTGCTGAACATCAACATGGAAGAGCAAGAGTAAGCGGATGCTTTCAGTGGATGAGAATCAGCAGTAGGCACCTTGCTGAGCGTTTTCACTCCCAGGCCATGCTGAGTATGAAAATAAACAGCGACGTGCAAAGCCGTGTTGTGACGATGTTTCAGAGTTGATTTCGCATGGTTCCATCAGTGCGCACTCTACGCCATGCCTGTACGTGGAAGACATAACACTGCAAGAGCACACTTTCCGAGGCTTGAGGGGAATGGTGTATAGAGGTCAACGTTTCTGAAGTACCTATATATATACACACATAGATGCATAGTATATACATATATATGATTGCTTGTTTCCACACATGTTCCTTAAGCAATATGCAATGTACAGTTCTTCGGCATCCGCACTTGCATCCCCCCTTGCTACTTGCATTTCTCCATTTGGAAATCATTTCCTTTTACGTCTCCGCTTGGATCGTGCGGCCAGTACGAAACTTGCTTGTGTGACCTTTAGTGCATGCATCCATTGGATCTTGTTGCCACACAGTTCTGCTCACTGATTGGATCTGAGGTTGGACGATATGGGCTTTCCACCACGCATCACTTGACGGCATCAGGACCCACAGGCCTCAGTCCATGTCCTGAATTGGCCAACAGTTGACCTGCGATGAGCTGAGGCATTGTGCTGGACGTTGATGGTACGTTGATTGATTCAACAAAGTGTCCTTGTGATTCCTGTGATTCCATTCCGCAGCCCACGCACCAGGAGGATGTTTTGAGTGTCATCGCTCAGAGTCGATCATCGCCAAGTGGCCTACTACTGGAGGCATTTTACGCACAGTGATACAGAGAACATCATAGAAAACCTACGTGCAGCATTATAATCATTATGATCATGCATGATTGAATGTGTATACTGTATAAGTGTGACTGTTGATTGATCAGCAGAGCATTGCAACATGTAGGTGATTTCTTAGCCTTCTGCCTTGACAGAGGCTTGGACACGTGGCAACACTGCGCAAAGGTAATCCATCTCATTCAATCTCTATGCAAATGGAGTGACATACGGCGCGCCGTGGTGTTTGCCACTTTTGTGCTTGCGCAATCAGGCTTCGACGCGGCTAGTTTGAGGACAACTTCCGAGTCATGGTTGGTCGTGAACAAGGCTGCATGGTGTTCACAGGCATTGATAGTAGTATTTTGATGTACCTTAGGGATGTTGAAGGTCTCATTCGAGGACTCGAATGGAATTGAAAGAGCAAAAGTGTTCACTGCAAATGCAGCACCCCTCATGAAGTGTGCAGACACTCTGGAGGTGTTGCGGTGGGAATGCAACTGGTGCTTTCTTTGGCTTCTCGGTGACCATGCCATTGAAGCGCAGCAGCTGGAAGCCTTTGGAGCATTTACCATCAGTTGGTCAAGGTTACATAAGGTTAGGGTATAGTTACGCGCAAACACCCTGATTCGCCCACACCCCTTTTATACCCTACCATTGGGTTGACTTTACATGCAATTAGGAAGATAATGTCCCACCCCCGTTAAACTTCTACATTCAATGGGGAAGATCAACAAGGGTATTTAGGGAATATTAAACTCCCACCCCCGTTAAACTTTACATTCAATTGGGAAGATCAACAAGGGTATTTGGGGAATATTAAACTCCCACCCCCGTTAAACTTTACATTCAATTGGGAAGATCAACAAGGGTATTTAGGGAATATTAAACTCCCACCCCCGTTAAACTTTACATTCAATGGGGAAGATCAACAAAGGTATTTAGGGAATATTAAACTCCCACCCCCGTTAAACTTTACATTCAATTGGGAAGATCAACAAGGGTATTTAGGGAATATTAAACTCCCACCCCCGTTAAACTTTACATTCAATTGGGAAGATCAACAACGGTATTTAGGGAATATTAAACTCCCACCCCCGTTAAACTTTACATTCAATTCGGAAGATCAACAAGGGTATTTAGGGAATATTAAACTCCCACCCCCGTTAAACTTTACATTCAATTGGGAAGATCAACAAGGGTATTTAGGGAATATTAAACTCCCACCCCCGTTAAACTTTACATTCAATGGGAAGATCAACAAGGGTATTTAGGGAATATTAAACTCCCACCCCCGTTAAACTTTACATTCAATTGGGAAGATCAACAAGGGTATTTAGGGAATATTAAACTCCCACCCCCGTTAAACTTTACATTCAATTGGGAAGATCAACAAGATTTAGGGAATATTAAACTCCCACCCCCGTTAAACTTTACATTCAATTGGGAAGATCAACAAGGGTATTTAAGCCAGTCCAGGGGGGAAAATAAGAGTGTCCTGGGAAGTATCTTCCGGTAGTCCCGATGATGGATGCTGATGGATGAAGGAAGATGATGATGATGGTGATGATGATGATGGTGATGATGATGATGACGATGATGATGATGTTGATGTTAATGTTAATGTTGTTGTTGCATGATGATGATGATGATGATGTTAATGTTGATGATGTTAATGTTGATGATGTTGCTGTGTAAAAGCCGCGCACAGGTCAGGGACATGTGCGTTGAGATAAACAACTTCAAGTTACCGGTCATGCAAAAAACTCCCATTTTTATCACGTTTTCAGCACGTCGGAAGATGGCCGCCGAAAAGCGCGGGCAAATCAAGGTGTTTGGCCGTATAGTTACAGTCATGTTTTTTGAGCGCTGGAAAATTTGAGTTGGTTTGATGGGGTTTGCCTTAATCAGTGGCCAACCCCAAGGGCACCGAGGCATCGCTTATTGGTTTAGCGTTTCGCGCCTAGTTTGATTTGACTTGCTTCTTTATGAATGATGGCTGACACTGCGCAACGTCAGGTCCCAGCACCTTGCAGCGAGCATGTGCAAAGAGACGGTGGAAGTGACTTGCCGACGCTAAGTCAGATCATCGCAGTCGCCTTTTCAAAGGTCAATACTAGTCAATACTGGGATTCGCGAGTTTGCCCTGAGGGCTTGCAAGGAACTTTGGAAATCCAACAACAGCACCTAACCTTTGCGCAGACACATGTAGAAATCCATCACTAGTTCACATTTTTTCTGTAATATTTGACCGTTTGCCGGAGCAAAACATATCATATACTGCATACTGTAACTAACAAATATCATCCATTTCCTTCCCAGCTGGCCAAGGTCAGGTACCGTAGCAAATATGTTTTAAGGCCTATGCTGCGCATAGGAAGACGATGATGCAGGCTTGCCAATATCCCGCCCTGTGTTGGAGCACTGAGCCTATGTTGGGGCATCTTCGGTTTGGACAGGTCGCAAATTGAACCCAAACATAAGGAAGGAGTACCTAAGAGGCATTTTTTGGCCCCATTAGCGCCTATGTTGGCGCATCATCGGCCCCTGAAAGGTCGCAAATTGAACCCAGACGTAAGGAATCCTTACGTCTGGGTTCAAAAAATGGAGTACCTAAGAACGGCTTTTTGGCTCCATTAGAGCCTATCTTGGAGCATCTTCGGCCCCTGACAGGTTGCAAATTGAACCCAGACGTAAGGAATCCTTACGTCTGGGTTCAAATGGAGTAAGTAAGAGGGGTCTTTTGGCCCCTTTAGAGCCTATGTTGGGGCATCGTTGGCCCCCGACAGGTCGCAAATTGAACCCAGACGTAAGGATTCCTTACGTCTGGGTTCAAATGGAGTAGCTAAGAGGGGTCTTTTGGCCCCATTAGAGCCTATGTTGGAGCATCTTCGGCCCCTGACACATTGCAAATTGAACCCAGACGTAAGGAATCCTTACGTCTGGGTTCAAATGGAGTAAGTAAGAGGGGTCTTTTGGCCCCATCTGAGCCTATGTTGGGGCATCGTCGGCCCCCGACAGGTCGCAAATTGAACCGGAGTAAGTAAGAGGGGTCTTTTGGCCCCATTAGAGCCTATGTTGGCGCATCATCGGCCCGTGACAGATCGCAAATTGAACCCAGACATAACGAATCCTTACGTCTGGGTTCAAATGGAGTATGTAAGAGGGGTCTTTTGGCCCCATTAGAGCCTATGTTGGCGCATCATCGGCCCGTGACAGATCGCAAATTGAACCCAGACACGAGGAATCCTTACGCATTTTTTATTCTTATTTTTTCATTTCCCCGCTTTTTCAACATGTTCTTTGCCCAATATTTATTGATGTTGGTTGACCTGTGTTGAACATTGGGCGCCTCCAATGTGCGCCAAACCCTTGAGTGTTTAAAACATCCATTTAATTTACGTATACAATCCGATTTGCAAATCATCCCATGTCATCCTGGCCATGGCCATGTACAACATCTGCTCTACATCACCCTCAAACATCATCAAACATCCACATGGTCGTTATCGCTAGCCCTTGCAGACGCTGTTTTGAGGTGCCTCAGTCGTGGCGTATATTCCTCCGCGCGCGGTGGAACTGGAATTGGAGCCCGAAGCATCCCCGCCCTGTTGGAAGTTGCAGCCACCTATGACGAGCTTGGAAGAGATGGAGACTTGGTATATGACTTGCCAGGGCTGAAAGGATTTGGCTAACTTGGGTAGGACTTTGGCGGGATTTAGGTAGGACTTATGTAGGACTTTGCTAGGACTTTGGTATGACTTACCAGGACGTGGCAGGATTCCGTAGGATTGGCCATGGCTTAGGTACGACTTTGTAGCTTGCAATTGGTAGGACTTGGTGGGGTTGCAGCGACAAAGTGATCATAATTCGCTAAACTTTGGAGTGTAAACATCCATTCCATTTAATTCACATATACCACCCGATTTGCAAATCATCCCATGTCACCCTGGCCATGGCCGTGTACAACATCCGCTCTACATCACCCTCAAACATCATCAAACATCCACATGGTCATTATCCCTAGCCATGGCCCGCTGTTTTGAGGTGCCTTATTCCTCCGCGCGCGGTGGAATTGGAATTGGAGCCCGAACCATCCCCGCCCTGTTGGAAGTTGCAGCCACCTATGAGGAGCTTGGAAGAGATGGAGACTTGGTAAAGGACTTGCTAGGGCTGAAAGGATTTGGCTAACTTGGGTAGGACTTTGGCCGGAT